AATCCAGCTAACTTACTTAGCGAGGTACGAAGAACGGGCCCCAGAGCAGGAGAAATGAAGTGCAGAAAACAAAGCTTGAAGAAAAAATGAAAAATATTTAACAGTGCCAAAGAGAGAGGAGGAGAGAGACGGAGTTAATGAGACAAACAAAAGTCTCCCGAAAGCTAAAACGGGGAAATATGACCAGTGTATGTAGCGCTTGGCTTCACTGTGACTACATGCACTTTAAATCTTTTCAGTTACAGACTAAAAATACAATATCAATAAAGTTATTCTTTTTTTGTGTAATCTATATTTCTTTTTTGTTTTCTTTAATGTTCATAAAGCTACAATGTTTTGCAGAGATGTACTTATAATAACAATTTGATATTTGTTCTGAATGTTTTCTTTTTCCTGTTCATTTAAAGTTAATTTCTACCGGAAAATGATCATAAAAGTAACTTATCTTTCACCACAAGAGGGCAGAATTTCACCAGTGAGCATGTTGTGATGTCTGGTTTAAAATGAGGTTGCACCATCTTGTAGTACAAAGTGCTATTAGAAAAAAGCACTGCTCAGCAATACTACAATATTTCTGTTGATATCTTCAACATGAGCCACAGACGTTTAGGACAGGAAATGAGAGCATTGATGTGTATGTCAGTTTAATGTTGCAGCCAGAGATGACTGAAGTAAGTTGTGCTGTGTAGTTTTATCCACAGTAACACAACCAGGGGACACAATAATTCAGATAATACAGGAATTTAACTCCATCCCAGGAGACCTGTACTGGCTTTATGTGTTGTTCAGGTCCGTCACCATACCAGATTTTCTTGACATGATGAAAAGAATTCACTTTAATTAAATTACTGGATTTTTTTTTTTATGGATATTAAGGCCGAAACTTGTTCACTGTGTTTACAGATTAAAGCAGTGTGGCTCATGGATTCAGGTTGATGCAGAAATTCATCTCTGTTTAATCAAAATGAAGATCAATCAAGATACCGACATTTCGTAATTAGTTCCTTTAAAAGGAAGTAATTACCAAGTTACTCTAAATATGTTATGAATTATCTCCACTACATAAAAACATACTTGAGAATATCTACAATTTTTTGTTATTCATTAAATCTTTGTTGTTTAAAACTGTTTTGGAGCCGTGGGAGCGGCCATGTTTTTCCCACACAATGAATTCTGGGACAATGACATGTATTGGTTGTCATAGGGGCTTTCATTCAGCTAGCCTGTTTTTTATAGTGTAGCAACGGTATTAATTAACTTGCCTAGTGACCTGGTTATGACTTGGTAGACCAGCACTATACCAAAGAACATCTGGATTAAGACATACGACTTCAAAGTTTTGGTGCACTGTGTTGCATGGAGAATCTGTAAAAATAACAATATCGTAATTTCACTGTATAATAAAAATTCGAATTCTATTAATGTGTTTATCGTGCGGTTATGCGATACCATGGATAGATGCTGCCATAAAATTGAGCTCTTTACAACAAACGCTCTCAGTAGACACCGGTAGTTTTCCCTCACTCTCGCGTCCTCGTGTGACGGACTGTTTTCATCTTCATCTAAAATAAGTACTGGTTGATTATTTTCATCCTCGCTCTCGGTTTGCTCTGGTTCAAACTGGAAAGGTTGAACGGAAGCCATTTCCAGGGTGCTGCTAACTGTGAACTCGATGCGGTGCAACCGTATGACGTCACTACCCAGAGTGCATTGAGAAGTAAATAACAATGGTGACCTACTGGTAATTGGTTTTATATAAAATGTGCTTGAAAGGAAAACATTTGCCGTATTTTAATACCACATATATATTATTAAAAGCACAGTGCATATTTTAGCGCAAACATGTCTTAACAGCCGGGGTACCTTTTAACATATTTTGATCTCCTTCTTCACGCTCACAAAAAGAGGAGGAGGAACTTTCTAACCTTTTTGCGCCTCGTCGGTACCTTTGTGTTAATTGGGTGCTGTTGCTTTAAGAGACAGACTGGTCTGGATTACTTAAACTAACTTTTCAGATTTACAGAGAGACAAACTTTTCCAGTTTGACCTGCTTATTATCCTCGCAGAATAAAGGAATAAAGCTTTCCTGTGTTCTTCCAACCAACGTTGAGTGTTTGAAACAAGTTGGACAGGTGAGGGGACAACGAGCTGAGTTACATTTATCATCCCGAAAATGGCGCAGCGAGAAAACCAGGTGAACCGAGACAAACTCTGCTGCTCGATCTGTTTGGATCTCCTGAAGGATCCGGTGACTATTCCCTGTGGACACAGCTACTGTATGAA